GAAAATGACTATGCTTCTCTCTAGTTAGTAGAACAGTGTAACAATTTGAAAATCCTATATATTGCAAACAATAATAAAAATATAAAAATTTGATCAACTATAAATTAGTATGTCTCAGAAATATTAATTTTAAATTAAAAAGAATACAAATAGAAGCTAATATAAAACTTCACAAACTTTTTAGGAAACATGATCTCAAACAATTATATGTTCAATCAATATAATATCAGTCAGTCCTATCGATCAGAGGGAGGGGTGTGTGTGTTTCCTTGTTGTAGAAAATAGCAGTATTCAGGGTAGTAATGTAGAAAGGAAGAGTCATAAGTCATCTTCAACAGAAACAGTACTTTGTTTTTATTGCAGTTAATACTGAGATGCTTGATTGGTATAGGCGGGTAGATATCAAAGGAAATAAGGGGTTTCAATACCCAATGTACAAAATCATAAAACTCAGATCCCACTCATAACTAAAAGTCTGTGACTGGCTTTTGTGAAAATTTGTGCTGCAATTTCTTGTAGTGTGACAGGTCAATAAGGCTTTCCTCTTCTTTTGAAGATGGCATATCTGGGGTTCATATTAATCCTGATAGGTTCCTGATCCATTGATTACATTTGTCTTTTCCCACTTCAGGAAAGCACTCATAAAACTGCTTCTGCAGACTTCCGAAGTGCTGAACAATTATGTCCTGGATACTGTCAACTGATAGATCACTGCATTGTTTCACAATGTCCTCTAGTATTGAAAAGATTGACACAGATTCCATCAGTACACTTGAAGATTATAGTTCATGTTTATTAATGAATGCTGCCATCCAATCATTAGCAATGAAAATATTTACATATTGTTCCTGAAGTGATCCATTCAGAGAATTCAGTTGCTCAAATATGCCAGCCAGATATGACAAGGATATCCAAGTGTTACTGAAATACTGTACAAATAGAGAGTTGTTATTGGCAAGAAAAATATAGACTTCCTCATGCAGTTCACATAGCTTCGTCAGCGACTTGCTGCTGGACAGCAAATGAACATCTGCATATAACAACTGTGTGAAGTTCGTCCCCATCTCTTCACATAAAATGGCAAAAACTCTTGAAATAACTGGGCACGATATTATAAACTTCATAATTGTTACTGCAGCTGAGCTCCTCTGCCATCTTCTTAGCTGACAATGTCTGTCTGTCTGGATTGTACAATGATTTCATGATGTTGTAGGGGCTGCTTCTTGTACCCTTGTCTCAAGTCCTCTGTACCATCCTGCCATAGACGATGCTCCATCGCTGCAAATTCTAAAATAACATCCCCAATAAAGGCCTGTGATTTGGACAAAATTATTTAATACAGGCAGTCCCTGGGTTACATGGATCCGACTTACATCGGATCCCTATTTACAAACGGGGTGAGGCAACCCTGCACTAGCTGCTTCCCCCCAGCAGACCAGGGAGATGCAAAGCTAGCGCCCTTCCCCCAGCAGACCAGGGAGATGCGGAGCGGCTTTTCTCAGCAGACACCTCAGCTTGAGAATAAAGGACGGAGGGAAGTGAGGTGTGGGAGAATAAAACTGAGCTCTGGAGAAATGTTTGGCTAGAGTTTCCCCTACAAAGTGTACCAGCTCCGACTTACATACAAATTCAACTTAAGAACAAACCTACAGTCCCTATCTTGTACATAACCCGGGGACTGCCTGTACAGTGAAAGCTTTGTTATCCAGAACTCTGATAGCCAGAAAACTTTAACTGACATTGCCCCCAGCCACAATACTGCCACATCTTTAGGTGCCCGCATCTGACTCCCACCTGTCCAGCTGTCCAATGTGGGCCTTCTGGCAGCAAGCATTATCAGCTAATGCCATCAGCAGGTACCTCCTTTCCCTCAGCCTACCTCGAAGCCTAATCTGCTAGTAGGGAGCATGGACAGAGCAATAAGCTTTGTTGTCCGGCACATTCAGTTAACCGGCAACCCCCATTGCCCATGAGTGCTGAATAATAAAGCTTCCACTGTAGTTTAAAAAGATCTTCACCGGTTGTCCATGTTGGAAGTGGATGGCAAAACAGAAATTTCTCTTAACTCTGTTGCTATAGCAAAATGAATACATCATTGGGTGCAGCATTTGATAGATCAGTAGACTCATCTATTTGAATTGGATAATATAAGATCTGATGAACACTTTTTAGGAGCTGCTCTTTTATGTAAGTGGCCATCTCTGCAATATGTTGTGAAACTGTGTGATTAGAAAATGGGATCCCATCCAGCTGTGATGCTACTTTCTCTCCTACCATGACTACATGTCTTTTGAAGCTGCAAATAGTAACTTCTCACCTGTGTTATTCAACCACTCTGGCAATGCACAAATCCACATGGTAAGAAGCCTCAGTAAGCCTTTATGTTAACAGTGCTGTAGACTTCAACAACCTTTTTTGTTCTGTTAACTCATTGAGTAACCTCTGAAAAACTCTAGGGTTTAAGAAACTAGAGTAAGATGTCTTGTTTTGAGATGCTGGTATAACTTGCAGGGCCTCATGTTGTTATTTACCAGTACTTCACTTCATATAACATCGTGAGGCCTTGGTATGTCGCTAGACCAGGTCCATGTAAAGCCCAGTTTGAAATGATCTTTATCATATTTTTAGCTTCTTTTTGCTTTAACTTCCACTTCGGCTGTCACTTTGGCTTGTGTTGTATGCTTTTCTTCCTTTGATACAAAACGATCCATTTCTCTCATAAGCAGTTTCTCACTGTAAGCCCGCTGCTGATAATATTTTTAAGTTCTTGGAAGAAAAAAGCATGCAATGGATGTCTGATGTCTCACAGATACTAAGAAAGCCATGCATGGGAGTAGTGAAGAGTCCTGCCACATCCCATGCAGCTGTGGCCACCACTGTCCGAAAATTGTGGGCTGCAGTTCCCCATGTCACTTCCAGGTGGGATCCAGCTGTCAGCCTGTGCTCTGCTTGTCAGAGCAGGGCAGGCTGCAGATCCATCTGTCAGCCCAGGTTTCTGCTGTCAGAGTGTCTCCTCCCTTTGTTTTTAATCTACGGAGAATGTGAGTCTATGACAGCCCTAAGCTTGAGATGCTGGCTCTTTAGAACAAGCTGTAAAGACTCATGTTTTTGCCTCTGGAGGTCAATGATTTGCTTCTTATTGTTGGCCAGCATGGCAGCCATCATTTCTGGAGCTGTTCCACATTGGCTGAGAGGCATGCTTCATATTGATGGGGATGGGAAATCGATATAGAGAGAGCTGCTAGTATAATAATGCCAGACCTGAAGAAGTGTGGCTCAAAAACTTGTCTCACCAACAGAAGCTGGTCCACTAAAACATATTACATTATCCATCTTATGCCTCTAATATCCTAGGACTGAAGCTGCTATGACTACACTGCATAGTATAATATAGCATCAGCTGCTATTGGCTGTATCCAATTTTCAGAAGTCTGTGTGAGACTTGGAGGGTTTTGGAAGTCACACAGACTTTTTCACAGAGGGTCCGTCTAGCTGATATGTTATGTAATCAGTTCTAAACATGGAGGGTTCTTCGGGGTATACTAATTTTCAGTAATTTTTAAATGGGGATTAAATATTAAAAGCTTTTAAATGGGGACAAAACAAAGACATTTCTGATGTATACCACAGCCCCTCTCACTCTTCAGAAGGATCAGTGTAGTCAGGAGCAGCTTCCGCAACACAGTTTTCCCCTCTGGTTTCTAGGCAAAATCTGTTCCACTTTCCTCTATGTAAGAAGCTATCCATTGTTATATATCAAAACTATAAAAAACCTAGGAAATTGGTTAAAAACTATGTTAGTAGTAACAGTAATTTTAGTAGTAACAGTGTTAAGGCAGAATAACATTACAAATATATGGAATGCATGACAGTCAAAAGTGGAGCTCTATTGATATAAAAGCATATAAGCCCATTTAAGGTTTGTTGCTAGAATGTATAAGTTTGATAAAGTTGGAGTATGTATTTTTTTCTGTCTGTTAGAGATGGACATGAGAGCCTTATGAAGTATTGGAATGCATCAACTATAATGTTGTGAGTAATATGAAGACAGAAGGCATAAGTCTTTCCCCTTTACTTTTTATTTTCATGCTTTTAAGGATTTCAGTGAAGGGAGTGGACTTTGTAACCTTAACTGTCGTTAAACATAGTGCTTGCAGATTTTGTTCTGTTCTGCTAATAGCAAAATCCTTGTGCTATTTGAGGGATGCTCATCATAATGCCAACAAGTTAATACCTTGGCATGGTATTAACTAAAATTTTCATTAGGGATTGAAAACAAAAATTAACATCCCCAAGCAGTTCCACATAACTGAACCAGTGGTGTGACCTGTCCAAACTACAGTATCTTATAAGCTTTTGAGAACAGCAGCATGTCAACCACTGGCTTTTTTTTATTGCATCTAATAGTTTAAACTATTTTCTACTTGGAGTGCGAAATGGCACTTCACAGGTCCTATTATTCCTGCACCGGGTACAAGTGACTTCTCTAGAAGTTACTCTTTTTCTGTGGGGAAAAACAAACATCTAATATGAACACTAGTCTCCTAGAATATTATGTATGAAGAGTTTTAAAAAGGAGGAACATAGTACAAGTGCTTCTCATGGGGCTTCACAAAGGGTGCACTGTACTGAAACAAGGAAATCCCAGCAAATCTGCAAAGTTTAAGGGACTGGAAATGGAATGTTCAATTTTATTCTCCTTCTGCCTTGACACGAGACATTCCCATTTGTACCTTTGTCTAAGACAGACTTAATTCAGTCAGTGAAATGTGTGTTCTGATTTGGATGGGGGTAGATACAGGGCACTCTGCTCTTAAGACTTAAGAGCCAGAATGTCAGAGAGCTTGAGAATGAGTAGTGGGCATCTCTATTTTAAGAGTCAGCATCTCTGACTTCTGTATGAACAGGCTGATAATGGTTCTCAGATCTAATTTTATAGGGCTAGACGGCATAGATGATTCTGCTGAGGATTCTGGGGTTTTTTTTAAATAAATTCTTACCCAGTATTGTCTGACCTCCATCATATTTAGGGGGTTGCCATTGCACTGTGCAGTAATCCTCTCCAACGTTAGTAATCTTGGGAGCCTCTGGAGGATCAGGAACATCTGAAGATTGTATGAGAGAGGAAGTGTCAAAATTGTTATCCTTGCCATCAGCTATGTTACTAAACAGTTTTGTTTAGCTTTTTTCCATATTATATATCCAAAGGTTATCTTCACAGCCAAATTGAACATATTGAGAGATCCTTCCTCTTTCAGTTTGAAGATACCGTCTCTCTGTCATATTTCTAAATATGCTAATCTAGATCTGTAACATTTAAGCATCAAATACAGTATGGGCTGTTTCTTAATGTAGGGCTGTTGTTTATCTCACTCCAGACTGAGCCCTGCTCTTTGATTCCTCTAGGTTGGTTGCTTTTAAATTAAATTAATCTGCACATATGTTTGTGAAATGTAAAATTTTATCCGTAAAGCAGTCTATATAATCTGCACAGACCCCAGCTGCAGTCATGACATGCACATGAACAGATGCATTCTTGAGATGCATCATTGCTGTTTCTTGATTTGGCAGGCAGAGGGAACTGTTGAAGAAAGGGGCTCTCATGTTACTCCTGAGGGATTCTGCACCACTGCACGCATGCACGGAATTCCTGTCCCCCACAGATTTTTTTTCCTCTGAAGAAAATACATTCTGCCAGAGAGGTGCTGCAGTTACAATTTTTGCCTACTAGGGATTGCTGTGGTGTCAGAACAGAGAGCAATTGGCTCACTAGCCATAGCAGTTAGCTTCTGATAGAAAGGAGGAGAAGCTGAGTTCTCACAGAGCCCTGCCCAGGGGCCAAGATGATGAGGCATGATATATGGAAGGAAACAGAGTGGGGCACATAGGACTGATGGGGGAGTCACATAGACTGAGTTCAGAAGAGCTAGTGGGGGAGATGGGCAAATGTAGAGACTGAGTGGGAGTTGAGTGCAGGGCTGCATGGGAGTGGGAGGAGGCTGAGTGAAAGTGCAGGGACACACAAGGATGGCAGGAAGAAGGGTGGCTGAGTGTGAATGCAGAGACACATGGCGATGAGGGGGAAAGATGGTGCAGTGACCAAGGAGAATGAGGCAGATGTGCCTGATTAAATGGGAGAGGCTAGGGGGTCCATCAGGGTCTACATGGTGGAGGCTCCCCAGCTCCCTAACAACTTCTCCCACTGGAAAACCCCGTTACATACTACTTCTACTCTCAACCAATAGACCTCCAGGTTCACTCCAGCCTCCTTACAAGAAATTACTTTCCTGTAGCTCAGTTCCTCCATTATCCCTGTCTCCCCCAAGTCTTTGCACTGTTTCTGAGGGATGCAAGAAATACATATCTTTATTGTAGTTTGAATTATTGCTCAAAGTTCTGTATCAATATGCCAATCAAGGAATCTATTTGAAAAAAACATTTCCCGAATCTTTTTTCTTTCTGTATTAGTAGACATGCTCACTGACAAAGATATTTTGAAATAAAATTACCAAAATAGTTGTAGCTAGCATGATTATAGTATTATTTTGACAAATAAAATATGCCAATTTTTGCAAACATTTTAAATATTGTGTGCAGAATTTTTAATGTTTTGGTGCAAAACTCCATTGAAAAATGAGAAAATATGACATGGTTCTTATTTCTTGGGTGTCCTGTGTCAGAAACTGTGATGAGGATGATCAGGTAAGGGTAAGAACTAGAATGAAGAGTCCATAGCAGGGGTTGAGCAAGGCTATAGTGAATAGGACAAGAGTAAGAGCAGGACTAAGAACAGAGCTGGAGCAAGAATATCACTGAAGCAGGCTAAGACTTGGGGAGTCTGTTACCATCATCATGTAGGATAGAGTTCCAAGTCCTGGAATGACATTGAGCCGACTGAACTGCTGTTCCATCTGCTTTGTACAATGCTGACTTACCAATTGCTGGAATTCATGAAGGAGATTGGTTGCATGCATGTTACATGCTGGCTCTCACAAATGATCAGTTGGGCGATTCCCTTGCAGTCCATAAGGTATGTCAGTCATCCTTGAGGAGTGGAGAGGCTAAGTTCTATATCACCTCATCTTTTTTCTGTTCCTGAATCGAGATTGGGGATGGAGGTGGTTGTGTGCATCCAGGAAAGAAGTCATCCACATATCTTTAACAAGAAGACATGGAATACTGGCTGTACTTTGTAATAGATGGTAGCTGGAGCGTGAAGATCATTACGTTCATCTTTTGAATTATCTGGAATGTGCCCAGATAAGTGATTTAGTTTCCTTGAGAGTCAGAAGCTGTCCAAGTGCTGAGTCTAGAGTCATAGGTCAGTGTATTGTTTATAGTTCTGCTTGGCTAAGTTAAGTGTAATTTTAATTCCTCTTGAATGCGGTGGTCATATTCAGTCAAATTGGAAGAGACATGAGAAGCTGGTGGTACATATGGGTGAAATCAGCATGGAAGCAATATCTGGCATAGAAAGAACTGTGGCTGGATTGATCTGTGATAGGAGTGAAGACATTATTCTAGAATTTGGCTTACCTGTTATTTTCGACCCTCCATCTAGGAGTGGTAGGCAAATAAAACTTGTAGCGTGAATTCTAGGAATTTGAACAATTCTCTCCAAAAATGGCCCATAATTAAACATAATGTCATTTGCTAATCTAGGGAACTTGATGATTCAAGTGAGCCATTGCTTCTGCAGTGGGGAATCTCCTTACAAGGCACAAAGTGCACCATTTTTGGTGTGCAGGTTGACAACAATCAGTATAGTTATATAGCCTTGAGCTGTGGAGAAAAGTCAGTGATAAAATCTCTCGATATTAAGGTCTCAAGTTGCGATAGGGGTTAGGATCAAGATATCCAGAGGTTTGGCACAATAGTCTTTATTTGGCTCAATGTCTTGCAGGAAGTAATGTAAAGCTTTGATGGAGAATAGTTTTGGATATAGGAGATGATAAATCATGAGAGATCAGCTTCTTTGTCTTCCAGTAACGAAAGTAGCCCGCCAGAGGAGAATTGTAGCATAGCCAGAGTAGTGCTGGATGGGGTGATCCATCAGAGAGATAAAGGCAATCCTTGAACCAGAGTAACTCATTTTATACTAAGATGTTTAGGTCAGAATTGGCTGACATCTATGTCCTTGTAAGCAGATCATTGGCCAGTAAAGACTTTATAAGACCAAAAGATCAAGTATTGGAGCCCATTCACAAAATGGCAGTGCTTGAATATAATGACAGGTTTGGGAGGGTTATACATCTTATCTAGATACTCTTCTTTGAAGGATAATGCACTGAGTTAATTATTTCAGGTCCCCGGCTGCTGAATGAGGGTGAAATTAAATTTAATAAGGAAGAGGAACCAAAGTATTTGACATAGGTTGCAAGCTTTGGCCATTCAAGAGATGTTCCAGTTTTTTATGATCTGTGAACACCTTGATTGGAAAACATGCACCTTCTAGATAGTGGTGCCACTCCTGAAATACAGCTTTGATTGCCAGTAACTCCTTTATTGTAAATTTGGGTAATTTTGTTCCTTGGGTGTCAATTGCCTGGAATAGAAGGCAACAAGTTGGAGGTCATTTGTTGGACCATGTTGCTGAGATAATTATTCCCTGATTGTATAATTGGAAGCATCTGTTTCAACAGCAACAAAAGGGCTTAGATGTACCTTTGTGCACTAAAAAGGGGACAGAAGAAAAAAGCTTCTTCAGCCAATCAAAAGCCAGTTGGGCTATTGATGTCCATTTGAAAACAGAGTTCGTCTATTGCAGTTGGGTAATTGAGAACACCACTTGTGAGAAACCTTGAATGAATTTTCTGTAGAAGCTGGCAAATTCTAGAAAACATTGGATATCACAAATGCTCTTGGGGGTTGCCTAAGTTAAAACTGCAGCAATGTTTTAGTAATCCATACTTATTTCACTGTGAGAGATGGTATAACCTGAGGAGTGCACAGCAGTGCAATCAAATTCACATTTTTCAGGATTCCTATACAGACCATTTGCTCAAAGACATTGAAATACCAGCCGGACATGCTGCTGATATAAAGTTTGATTTTCTGAAAAAAATAAGAATGTCATCTAGACAAATTGTGATAAACTGCTTTAGAATATCACTGAAAAATTCTTAACGAAATTCTAGAGCATAGTGGGGGTATTAAAGAGACCAAAAGGCATGATGATGAGGTACTGAAAATGTCCATACCAGGGTGATAAATGCTTAAGTGAAAATTTTAACTGAACTGACCCTTTCCATGTTTTTGTTGATCAATGACAGGTGATATTTATTTTTGATGGTTATGCTGTTCAGTGTTTGATAGTAGATGCAGGGTGCTATCGCTTTTTTTTTTGTTCCTCCCAAAACAGGATTGGGACTCCAGTGGGGGGACATATATAGATTTTTTTTTTGCCAGATTTTCATCCAACTCCTGTAGGACCCTAAGTTCAGGTTATGATTGGGTAAGTTTCTCACAAAGGAGATTTTAGGCCCTGGAGGTCTATAGGCCAGTTATAGGACCTAAGTGGGGGCAGAAAATAAGTTATTTTTATCAAATACACCTGCAAAGACCTTGTATTTCACAGGGATTGGTCAGTTATCATTCAGACCCTGCTATGTGTATAAATCGGTGGACTTGCCCTGATTACATCTAGGGTGCTCAACACCAGACTGGAGTAGGAACTGATGTAGACAGTAGTCTAGATTCAAACCAAACTTCTTGTACCCTTCAAGAAATGCTCAGATTGTGCTGGGAGATGCATGGGATGCTAGGTATAATAGAGAAGTGAATTTAGTCAATCAGTTTAAATGGCTGAGTTTACTGGTGATCTTGAATTACTGCTTGGAGAGGTGCAGACTCATATCTGAGCCCAAAGATAACAAGCTGCCATCAATTACCTCCATCAAGTTGGGGGCAAGCTTCTTTTCCACTAACTAGTGGATTGTTTTAGCAAATCCAGTGCCCATGAAACTTCCAGAGGCTCTGTAGTCCATCAGGCAAGCTGAATGCACCTTGCTTCAGGTGTTGACAAGGAGCTAGAGTGTCAGAAGCACCATCTGAAAATGGGATTGACCGTTGTCCACAGCGGTTAGGATGTACATAGGCAGCAGAGGGAGTTTGTGTAGGGGACCCAATCCTGTTGTTTCATCTATCCTGTGTTCCTTTTAATGGGGCAGAACCTGCCTGCTTCCCAAACCAGCTATTGGACTGGACTTGAAGGGACACATGGCGATAAAGTGGCCTCACTCCTCTACAATACAAGGACAGGCTAGTCAGATGATAATGTTCCCTCTTTCGATCTGGGAGGCACCATTGTGTCATGTCTACCTGCATATATTCAGATACAGAGTCTGCCTAGGGATGTGGAATAGGTCAAGTTTTTGTAAGGACCCAGCATGTACCTTCCATCTTTCCTGGCGTCACTCAGTCAGTTATCATTTGGATACACAACTTGATGCTGTGGAGGCTCAACCCTGGCTGTTTCACCTTTGATCTCATCATTCAAGCCTAGATAGGAGTAGTAAATCTGTGCTGTTTCATTCCAGGCTATGACTGCGACCAGGTGATAGAAGTGCATGGTACAGGCCACAATAGGACAGGGGCATTGAGTGAGTGACTCACTCCAGAGCAACTTTGGCAGAATGGCATGGTGGATCATCAGTTAGGAGTGAAAAGACATGAATAAATTCATCATCATCATTGAGAATCAAGTTTTCCAGCTTGAGGAGTGGCAATGCGTAATCCAGTGATTTGCCTGCAAATTAGCTGATGACCTCTACCTTGAAGTGGTCATTAAGGTACATCACCTGGTGCAAAAGGAACAATAAATAACATTGATTGAGAACTGCCTGAAACTTCTGATGGTTTCCATCATAACTCTCTGTGAGGGGATTGTTAGGCCTAGATCTTGGACTGACATGACTGATCAGGGCTCGCCAAACTGTGCATGCGCAGATTGCTGTCCGGCGATCTGCGCATGCTCAGATCGTTCTGTGCATGCACAGATCGCCTGAACCCAGCTCTTCCGGGTTGCAATCTACTCACCACGAGCAAGTAGAGTGCATTATTTGTCGAGCCCTGTGGATGATGATGTGAGCGGGCCCAAAACCACTAGGACCTGCTGGCATAGGAAGGCATTTTCTCATTGTATCTGGGCCACTTGATGTTGGAGACCTCTAATTATTTCTGGCATCTCAGGAGATCAGTCTGCTTCAACCAGCGAGCAGCAACCTAGGCTAATGAGTGGGCTGCACGATTGGCCCTCCTTCATCTCAGTGGGCCACAAGATTGTTGTAACCAAGACAGCCCCCTGGATAGAGTCGATTTGCTAATTGCACTTGCATACCTAGAATTTGCAGAGTATGCTGATTGAACTGTAGTAGCGGTTAGGCTGGATGCAGAAAGAGGGTATGGTTCTTACAATCAAAGTTCTCTGCAGTTAGCATGCACCTGACTTCAGATACCCTTGCTTTACATGTGTGTCATACCAATAGGAAAAAAACTACATGGATGAAAACCAGTGAAATATGTAACCCTGTGCATAGGCAAGGGTAAACAAAATGTCTCACAGGCCACACATAGAACTTCATTGGCCTGCACATGGCCCACGGGCCGCAAGTTGCCCACCACTGGTTCAAACTATCAGTAACCATGATGAAAATGGTTGTACTAAAGTGGTCAGACCCATGGCAATAGGGCTTATTGGTCAGAAGCAAGAGTCAGAGCTGCAGTCAGGAGTCCAGAGTAGAGTTGGAGTGAGAATGGAGGGAGATCAAGATTGGAGAAGGACTAGGAGCAGAGCAAGAGCAAGAGCAAGCTTAGAATTGGTTGAGGCTTATGCAGACTGTTATCACCACCATCAAGCTCTAGAGTGATGTTGAGCAGATTGAGCTGCTGTTACTCCTGTGGGACTAATATATTCTGCCTTAGGATCACCAGACCCATTTCTGCATTGGCTGGAGCCTATCACATGAGTGATTCCTTATCTTGCATCTTGCCTCCAAGTAATTAGGCAGAACTCCATGATATATTTTAGAGAACAAGCTTTAAACTAGTGTTCCATTTGCTCCAGTCTGCTGCATAGAGAGCTAAAAATAACACCACCCAGTGATTTGCTCTCAGTATTGCAATAAGGGGCTTCCCTCTTAGCCTGGAATAAACCCCATCTGTAATACAATGGTTGATCATATGTTGTCTTACCTTATTTAAATAACAAGGATTTTCTGGTCCGGCAACATCCATGGTCCAGCACAGATGCTGCGGGGCCAGAGAGTCCTGGGGGAGGGCTAGTGGCAAGGATACCTGCGGGGCTGGCAGGGCAGTGGGCTGCCTGCAGAGAGCCCACTGTCAGCATATGGTTGCAGGTTCTGCCCAGCAGTGTTGGGAGACGCACATGACTAAGAGCTACGGTTTCTTGGTGGGGCAGGGATCCACTGCTGCTCGGTGGGTCCCTGAGGGTCCCAGAGCTAGGGAAGTGATGGCTGCCCAGCAGGGTCATCAGGGCAGAAGGGCCAGGAGGAGATGAGGAGCCATCCAGGAGGTCAGTGGGTTGGAGGTCCAAAAATGACCTCCACTGGTCTGGCAAAATCCCTCATCTGGGACCAGTCAGGTTCCGAGGTGCTGGACCAGGGAGGTCCAACCTGTAATATAAAAGAACTTATTCCTTTGGGAAATCCTGTCTTGGTATTTTTCCCAATGACCTCATTGAGCAATGAATTATAAAGGTGTACAATATTGTGTACAATTTTTTTTCTTTTATCACTTCTAAATTTGTACACATTGCCCTTGTTTTCATAATATGGGCCATGATGTAAAGAAGGAACTGGCTGATACTCACAATGCCCTTCATAAAGTATGTTAGTCAAACACCCTTATAGCTTTTTTCCTTTGTACAGTAAATTAATTCCAATCCTTTCTAATATCTTATACCATATGTAGATTATATGTTATCCCTTCATTCCGTTAACTATTTACTTTACATATAACAAAGTCATTTTTATTAGAAAACTTTCACAACAAAACAGCAAAAATTGATTTCATTCTTTAAATGTATCACCCCTACTGAGAGAAGAGACTGGCTCAGAGCCATTCAGAAATGTACAGAAATGTAGGTAAATGGAAGGGAAGACTATTCTGTGTGATCTAATCTCTATTATTCAGAATGATCCTTTCTCCTCCCATATAGGAAATACAAGATAAGCTACTTAGAAAAAATAATTCTGACAAGTTTTATAAAATTAATTCCTCCTAGATGGTCTTTTTTCACCTCTTTGAACTGAGAGTTATTCTCAGGTTTACAGCAATGAGGTTAGGTCCCATTGAACTCAAACATTTTTCAAACTGGTTATTCCTGTCCATCACTTACCAATAACCTTTACTGTGATATCAGCCTTATCTTCTCCTGCTGGGTTCTGTACTGTAACTCTATAAACCCCCTCATCTGGCTTTTCTGCTCCTTCAATGATGAAGATACAGTGGTCTTCATGCATTTCTACACGAACTCTGCCTTCAGATTCAGAGAGTAGCTGTGGGCATTGAAAGCATCATGTGAAATATTTTGTAGCTAGAATGGAAAAGGAGAACCTGATGCTCTGAATGAAGGGAACTGGGAATTGCATAAACATGCTGAGCCTAAAGCAGAATGCAAGTCTTTCTGACACCAAATATCAATATCACTGAGAAGCTATTTATGACGTTCTATTGTATTTTAATGTTCTATTTTGTAGAAACAACTGGATATCAGTGGGTAGCAAGTAACAGCTCAGAACATTTTTCTTTGGGAGATATTGATTTTTAAAGCTGTGAAAGCACTATTGGTAGTTGAAAAGACCCTATTGCATTTCAGTCTCAAATTTGTGACTTGGGGATTTTCCTCTGTCTCCCTTGGTCCACATATTTGTCCATGTCTAAATTTTGTTGCATCTTCCTTCTTGACACTTCTAAGAACTGAATTTTTGACATTTTGTTTTTATCTACAATATTAAAACCATTGTCAAAGGCCTCTCCTTCCATTGTTGTTACTGCAAACTCCTCATTCTCAGGCCTCTTTGACCATTTGCCTGTTTTTCCATTTTGTTTTTTTCTTTTTTGTTAGCTCAGAGAAAAGGGTTAAAATCAGCACTGATATGTTTAAACATAACCATCACCACTTTGTTATATCCTTTTCTCTTTGACGCATCTTTGTACTTATAAACTCTGTGCCCCTTTGCACAAGGACTTGTATATTATATGTGTATCACCTAGAGCAGTGGAGCCTGAATCTTGACTGAGGCCTCTGAATTCTGATGTATTACAAATAGCAAAATAATTCTTCTGATTGGTTATTATACATACACCAATGTATCAAAATGAATGCATGATAAAAGAAACTTAATATGAAAAAGGTAACCTCATTACCTTGTGGTCTGTTCTTCTGGTTCCTATTATTTTATCTTTTGTCATCTGTCCTTCCTCTAGATAAGGGCTTTAGTGAAACTCAATTGGATTAAATATATTTTTAAAAAAATATTTGAAAGTGTTACAAACCGTAATGCTTCAGAGCAAAAGTCCATCACTAAAAAATAGTGGCTAATAAGAAACTTGCCCTATAGACAGCTTATTCTATAAGGGTATGCCTAGACTACAAAGCTCCATTGACGGAGCCATGTAGATTAGGTTTCTAGACATAGGGAAATGAAGCGGCGATTTAAATAATCGCCGCTTCATTTAAATTAAAATGGCTGCCGTGCTGTGCCGATCAGCTGTTTGGCGGCATAGTGTGGTAGTCTGGACGTTCCGTGGTCGATATCAAAGGCATTTTTCGACCACTCCGTTATGCCTCGTGGGATGAGGTTTACCGGGGAGGTCCACAAATGCCTTTGATGTCAACCGCGGAGCGTCCAGACTACTGTACTGTGCTGCCAAACAGCTGATCGGCACAGTGCGGCAGCCATTTTAATTTAAATGAAGCGGCAATTATTTAAATCTCCGCTTCATTTCCCTTTGCTGAGTAAACAAATCTACATGGCTCCGTCGATGGAGCCATGTAGTGTAGACATACCCTAAGTGTCCACTAAGGCATTTCCTGTGCATCTCTCTGAAACATCTGATAATTGCAACTGTCAGGCAAGATGCTGCCCTAGATGGACTGTGGTCTGATGCATTATGTTAATACCTATGTTACTCTAAATTTTAAGCTCCTCTAAGCAAGACCGTGTAAAACCACCAAGTCTGGAAAAATTCCATATATATTAATGGTTTTTTATAAATAATAAAGGACTTACCTTGCTATCATTATTTAAATCACTGCTGGAATCTGGGGAATTCATGGTATCTTCATTGCTTAGCACATTGCAGCTGTTCTAAATAAACAAAGAAACACCGGTTGAACCTTTCTAGTTGGGCACCATTGGGGCCTGACTAATGCTAAGTCAGAGAATTTGCCAAACCACGGGAGGTCAATATTGTCCAGCAACATTACCAACACTTTCACAGCTTACTGGGCTCTTAGAAGACATTTAGGGGTAAATTAGAGCTAAATAACAGCATGGAACACTGAGAGGCTGTAAACAACCTTTATGGGACAATGAGAAACTTGGATACACCCATAATAAGCAGATATCTAGGTAACTAAAATCATACCGGCCCATACATATTGCCAGACCAGAGAAGTTCAATCTGGACATGAAAGATAATGATGCAAATAATCAAACAATCTATTTGCAAACACCTAAAAGATAATAAGGTATTTAGTAACAGTCAACATGGATTTGTCAAAAACAAATCATGTCAAATCAACCTAATTTAACAGATAATAAGCCATGTGGATTCAGGGAAAGCAGTAGACCCAGTATACCTGATACTGCCTTGCATAATCTTCTCAGAAACAAACCAGGGAAATATAGTGTATATATGTGTAAGCAGGGGCTGAACTACTGCTTGCTATCAGCCAGCTAAAAGTAGAGAGCTGCCCTGCGGGTGGGTATGCTCACTCAAATTGTTTAGCTCTGCAAGATAATTAACTGTTAACTGTTGGTATGTAAATACAGCTCATGCCAGGATGGGGAAGGAATCCAGGGTGTGGTTATGTAAATCCAATTCAGCCAGGGCCGATGGAGGATCAGTTGTTAGAATGGAATGTGATGTATTGTATCTAATTTGGACGGTTATGGGGGTCACAAATCATGCTACCTCTAAATGTGAGAACTGTAAAATATGGCACCAATGCTTGCAGGAGAGATACCATCATTGTAAGAGGTCTCAGATGAACAAGCTTCGCCATTCCAGAATTGAGTGAATGGAGTTGGAGGGAAAGGGCTTGAGCCAGCTGGCTTCATGCCTGCCAGGTGTGAGCTGTGAGACTGGTTCAATCTGCCTCTTTCTCCCTTGTTTTAAGGATAGACCTAAAGCAGACTCCATCAGGAGTCTTTTTGCTAGTCCAGTAGAAGCAGTGGAAGCTGGACTCTCTTGCCAGCCTAGATGGTGGCTAAAGAGTTGAAATCACTAAGAGCTGAAGTCACTGGTTTGGCCTGGAGCCAGACCCATTGCTGCCAGCGGTGTGGCTGGTGGGAACGACCTGCAGGGTGCTGGTAGATGTAGGTGGCCAGTGGAGCAGCTGGCAGGAACAACCAGCGGGCAGCCAGTAGGAGTGGCGGCAGGCGGCCAGCGGAGCAGCTGGCAGGAACAACTGGCAGGCAGCAGGGGCAGCACACAGGTGGCATCACATTAGGCTCTATGAAGGAAGCAAAAGGACCACAGGAGCAGCTCAAAGGTGGCATGGCCTCAGGCTCAATGAGTGGAGTCATCAGGGTGATGTGTCAGGGTCTGCACTGATTGGAGAAGAGCTGTAAGTGGGGCGTTTGAAGTGGGGTACAGAGAAAGTTTAGGTAAGTGAATGGAACCCTTTCATTGTTGGACTGGTGACCCTGAGGGGCAAAGGACATTGCTCAATCCCTTGGAGCTGGGATGGTTACTTGTGCGGTTATGAACTCTGTTTGTGGTATTTTCCTAAGTTAATGCCATGTGACTTCTCTCTTTCATTAAAAGTTTCTTTTCTACACTCAGACTCTGCTTGCGAGTGGGGAAGCATTGTCTCTTAGAGGCACCCAGGGGTGTGTGAGTTTCCCAGGCTACTGGGTGGGGGCTCGAGCCTGTTCTGTGTGAGATGGACAAAAAGGGACCCCTAGATGTTGAACCCGGCCCTGGCTGCTGCTGGCACTACCCAGAAGAAGGGTTACATATGCAACTATAAGGTGGTTGTATAACTGGTTGGAAAGTGCACCCAGAAAGTATATTATCCATATTGCTGTAGATAAGACATGAGAAGTAGTTCTTCCACTCTATTCCATGCTAATTAGGCCTCAGGTGAGAGAACTGTGTCTAGTTCTGAGCACCACATTTCAGGAAAGATTTGGACAAACTGGAGAAAATCTTGTTATGCAGTCCTGCCTTGAGTGCAGGGGACTGGACTAGTTGACCTGTTGTGGTTCTTTCCAATCCTGTCCTTCTATTATTCTGTGATGAGTCAGAAAGATCTCATTAATCAGAGTTGGTTTAGTTGTGTTTAAGACAAAGAGGAGAAGGATCTATGCAGGGTATGTTTGTTGCTTAGCAGAGGAAATGTGGCAAAATGAAGAGCGGAATCAATTAACAAAAATGAGAAGGAAATCAACTGATTAAAAAAAACAGCCAGAATTGTAAATTAATTCCCAAAGTGAAAAGGAATTAAAAGGAGAATCAGCAAAACTTGTTTCACAACATCATAAACAAAACCTTATGATATCCCTGCAGCAGATCACAGATAGATATGATTCAGTTACTGTCCTGTGACTGTAAGGGTACGTCTACATTGCATGCTTATTTCAAAATAAGCTATTCCAGAAGAAATGGGAATCTTCAAAATTAGTCCGAGGCAGGCAACCCTAATGAGGATGTGCTTCCTTGATTTAGAGCCCCAGGAGGCACTGAGGAGTAACTAATTTTTAATAGCCCTTGGGGAGGAGTTATTTCAAAATAGCAGCAGTGGAGCGTTCACACTACTATTCTGAAATACAGGCAGTCCCCGGGTTACGTACAAGATAGGGACTATAGGCTTGTTCTTAAGTTGAATTTGTATGTAACTTGGAACTGGCTCCAGATTCAGCCGCTGCTGCTGAAACTGACCAGGGGCTGACTACAGGAAGCCCGAGGCAGAGTTGCTCTGCCCCCAGCTTCCTGGAA